TATATATCTGTGTGTGTGTGGTTCTCCCTGTAGAGATGATCACAGGGTTGATTGGCGAACCACACCACCCGGGTTCGATCCCCAAAAGATGCAAATTTGGAGGAATTTTAAAGAGTTAAGCGTGCTGGCATGGGAGTAGCAGAAATGATGGGTGACCCCTTGGGAAGTAGATTTGGGATGGGGCTGGGCTTACTTTGGGCTTTCTATAGTGGGCTATCTATCTCGGGTGTTAACGGGCCCCGGGGTAGTCACGAGGTTAACGGGCCTCGGGCCCCTGCTTGTAACCGACCGTTAATTATATTAAAAAAAATTTAATATATATATATATATACACTATCCACAATTAATTTTAGTTTATTACTTTTAAAAAAATGATTATATGAATTTAATCACATATGCATATTTATTAATTAAATAATTTGTTTAAAAATTTTATCTTATTACATTATGTATTTTACTGCTACATATATTTTTTAACAAAGTAAACAAAATAAAATTGGTTTAATTAAAGGGTGACAACTGACAATTGATATTATGACACATATACATTCTCTAATGATGTATCATTATGTAAATAATCCACTTTTTATTAAAATATTTTATTAATTAAAACTATTTTTATAAGTACTAAATTCAATGACCATTAATTTTTTAGAATTTGTTTGTTTTTAAATTAACATACCAATATATATCCCACCAGTTTAAAATATATTTTGTCACTATTAGAAAACTAAAACAACTAAAGTTATATTTATAGAATCTCATAAATTTAAAATATATACGAGCCTGTGCGAAGTACGGGGTTAACACTAGTTTAAATGTATGCATCATTATATCATTATGTAAAAATGATATAAACTTTAATAATAGAAAAATCAACTTTCTATATATAATTCTTTAAATTGCCCCTAATTTATTTTATTTTATTCCTTCTCAAAACATTATTACATAAGTTAATTACATACTCATTGATCTTTATTAACTACATAATATATTTTAAAAATTAATATTACATTATTTATTGTAATTGCTGAGTATATATTATTTCAACAAACTAAACAAAGTGAAGTTGGTTTAAAAGCAGGATAACATGTGGCACATGTCATATATGCATTCTCTAATGATGTGTCTTTATTTAATTGGTCCATTTGGTATTAGTGATTTTAATATTTTATTAATTAAAACAATTCGCATTATTATTTCATCCAATGACTATTAATTTATACAGAGTAAAACTTTTCAAGCCATATATGTGAACGTCATGGCATTTTCCATACCACAAGTATATATTAAATTGTATATAGAAATGCTAGAGTCGTAATAATGTTTCCGTTTTGGATTACAATGTTGATGATCTAGTGTGTGAGTATGTGACTAAGTGCTATCAGATGAGGCCGCTCATAAGTTTGGAGTAAAACTTCCTCCAACACTCTATTGAAAGTAAAGAGGAGTTTACAGCGGAAAGGAGTAATCCGAACTTATAATATCTATACGTTCAGATTTTACAACAAGGAAAATAAAATAAAAATAATATAAGGTAGAAGGTCGCCGGAAGCCGAACGGAAAGAAAGGAAAGTGGATTCGCCGGAACTTTCCTTAAGGTAGTATCGCCCGCCTCCCGCACTAGCTAACGTGAACGATCTCCTCCCAATATAAAACCGTTAACGTGCAAGGTCTAGAGCAGTAAAACCGTGCACTAACGAACTGGAACGAGCGGATAGTTACTCGCCGGAGAAGATGGTCGGAAACAGAAACTTGGAACGCGAGACTTGGACGGATGGGCAACCTGGACTGGGCAGACAAATCGAAGGGTCACGAGAGTCCCTTCGTAGGTGCATGCATGCTATTCTCCTTCGTAAGGAACGAAGTGCCCATTTGTGTTCAATTTGATCTCGTAAAAAAATAAAAGTTAGCCCACGCCCTCGCCATGTCACAACGCATCACGCGCACATGCCAACACGCGTTCGTGCGCGGGTGTGCATGCCGTGACATGAATTGAAGTGCCGAGCCGGGCGACAGCGGTAGCGGTGCACGAGAGGTTCTTTCCTTTTTCCTTCTCAAATTACTTTTAACATACAATTCAATGCTAGCATATAAATAGTGGAAGATGAAAGGTTTCAAAACCGATGTATGATACATGGATTTCCTCCTTCCAAGTGTCCGACTTTGGGAATTAATTTCTCATTCAACCGAGCATCATTTTTGGCGCACAATATTTCGAAACACTCGACTCACTTAGGAGATTATTCGTCCATAATTATTTTTGGAAAAATAATTTTGTAGACCCCACCAAATTTACGTCCGAAGTTGTTCCGTTACACGCCAAAAATTCCAACACATTCTTCTATTTCTAAACCCAAAATGCGTGTTTACACATTCTCTCCCTCAGGGTCGGCCTCGAAAAATGAAAAATTAAAATAGGCCCGGTCATAAATTTACATTTTGGGCCCTATTTTATTTGTTTAGAATACTTTTTCTTTAAAATTATTAACAAATTTAAAAATATGGGGTCCTAAAATTTTAGGAGCCATTTGCGGTTGGCCACCTTGTACACCCTCCAGGCCACCCATGCTCTCCCCCACTCAAACCCAGTCACACTGTAGCAACTGCAAATTTGAGCCCCCCTTCACTTTGCTCCCCCACACCCTCGCGTCTTGGGGTAAATTTCACCAGTGGTACCTGAACTTTAGCTGAAATTTCGAATTGGTAGCTAAACTTCAAATCCTTTCACAAAAATCTCTAAAGTCCTTTCACTAAAAGTTCATTTGCCTGTTTATAGGTTAACTTCCGGTCATTTGGGCCAAATTAGAATTTTATATATTTTAAAATTTTCAATTTGACCCCATTTCTTTGTTTCTTTTCTTCCGCTCCCCGCCGCCGTCGCACCACGTCAAACTCGCCGGAAAATCAACCTGGTCAGATTCCGGCGGGACCAACGCCGTTCTCTTCGTCTTGAGATGAGGGTCAAGAATATCCAAATCATTTTGTCCAATTTGGCCTGCAACTCCTCGAATTTCAATTTTTCCACTTGAAAAAACCCTAAAATCCGAAATTGGGGGTTTTTGCAAATCGCCATCAAATCTTGCAATTGAGGGGTCCTTGGGGTTCGCCCGAGATGCCACAAACACGTTGGAGGGGATGAGCGACGTCAATTTTGCCGGAGGTGGCCGGAAAACGTAACCCGCCGGAAAACGCCGCCTCTTTTCTTGTAGCGTACAAGAACTTTTCTCCCCCCTTCACTTTGCTTTTTCTTGTAGCGTACAAAAACTTTTTTCTTTTTCTAAATTTGCTCCGAGTGTCTTTTATTTTCTCTTTCTAAATGTGTTTGAGTAATTATTTTTTAGCGTACTTTGCAATAGGGGTGAGCAAGTACCGAACCGATACCGAAATTTTCCGAAAAAACCGAGAATACCAAACCAAAAAATACCGAACCGAAAAAGTATCGAGAAGGAACCAAACTGTACCGAGCCGTACGGTGTTTGGGAACAGTACGAGGTGACGTCCCATACCGAAAATCCAGAACCGAATATATATACTAAAATATATTATAAAAAATAAAACCCCGGAGTAATATTTTTACATGCCTTCACTAAATAATAATTTTTAAAAAAAATTGGTTCAAGTTCTATTATGTGTAAATTATACTTTTCTTTAAGTTTAAGTTTTTGTGTATGAACATAAAAGTATTCACAAAGATTTGAAATACTCCTTTATTTTCGTTCATTTTTTTAGTTTGTGAAATATAAACTAAGTTTTGATACGCATCTCTTGCATTTAAATATTCATTTTTTTTAATTTTTCATGATTTGTTATTTAAATTCACTTTTTAATTTTCATAAAATAAAGGGGCATTGTTAAATTTTAACGTATAAAGTAAGTATGTATATTCATCCTGATTTGTATCGAAACCGATACCGAACCATCCCGAACCGATATTTAGGGATAGGGATCGGTACGGAGTAAACTCCCATACCGAATCGAAATATTTGGGACGGTATCGGTACAAGCTAAATACTATACCATGCTCACCTCTACTTTGCAAAGCATAAACTCAAATACTCCAAAATAATACCCTTCTAGTATGCTCACCCCTACTTTGCATATTAGATTAACTAACATGCTTACCCTTCTTTTCTTGCTTTTCTTGCTGCAGACACGATCCCCTCTTCTTTTTTGCTTTACTCTATATACAACTGTTTTTTTGAATGTAAAAAAAATGTGTGGGACTATGGGTGTAATGGGTGTGGAGTTTAGTAAAATTTTCAAAAAAAAAAAACCCTAATTTCATCGCATACCCAATTTCAATAAGTGGTGCAATTCTTAATTTTAAACTACTAGAAATTAAATCCAATTACATGAACAAAATGAGAACAGAGAGAGGAACATTAAAATAGAGATGCTTAAAAATGGAGGAACATAAAAACCATAGTTTTAATTATTCTACTAAACTCTTACCATTCTACCGCCATTAAAACAGAGCTGACTTTGTTGATTACATCCGAGAACCAATTCAAGAAGTGAGGTAGATTGATTGGAGAAATAAAGAGGAAATTGAGGATGAGGCTGACGACACAGAGTAGCAGGAGAAGTGTTTCGTCACTTGAAATTTGAAGTGGAGCACCTTTTTGGTCCTTTTCTTATCCACCGTTTGGTTTGACGTGTACCGTCGATAGGATATAACGTGTGGAGCCAGAGTATTAGTTGAAGGACTATTTATGGATATAAAAAACTTGAAGAACCAACGGTACACATCTCAAAAAGTTGAAGGACCATACGTGGATTTTAGCCTATATTAAATGAGATATATGAGGTGTAAATAGTGTGATAAATAATGTAAATAGAAGTAGCTGTAGTATTTTAAATGTTAAACAAGTTGATAGAAATGATCTATGAGAAACAAATAAAAATGACTAATGAAAGGCGGTAGTAATAAATAAAAAAAACTTTCCCCATTTGAAATTTAAAAAAGAAAACGTCCACTGGGTCAAATACTCCGTAATATAATGTGACCTAATTCTGTCAATATATGTACAAATGAAGAGCAACACAAACATGTCCGTCAATCAATATATACATATATATTGTGAGCTGCATATGCATATCCTTCTGAGAGCAACACGAACACAGTTTTAGCAGGTTGCTGCTTTCTGAAAGTGGTTAGTGAACGATATCTTCCTTGGGAGAGGCAAGATCGCCGGATACATATCCCCTCCCTCCAAACACTGGCCGCATGCACGAATCATCAAACTTCCTCCAATAGTAGTGAATTATGTTAGTAGGTTGGCTCAGAAACATGCAAAAACTTGGTCGGCGATGAATTCTCCCACTGCCCATCTCATGCACAGTGTCTGATAGATGTGCAGAGCTTAATAGCGGGAGCACAACCGATGATGCTTCAGAAGAAAATGAGCTCCACAGCAAGCACCTCACAAGAGGCTTGGTCAGCAGCCCGAAGACCTAAAAATATTGGCTTACTTAAAAAAAATCATACATGTTGGAACTGTAGGATTAGGGATCAAATTCTTTTACCACTGTGCTAAAGAGGACGATAGTGATGGTGCTCGTGATCATGATAGCATTCCCTGGCTGTTGTGTATGGCCAAACCGAGTGAACTGGCGATAAAAACAAGGATCAGGTTTTAATCAGTGTTCTAGAGGTTGTTCAGCATAATTACCAAAAAGGGCTTGTCTAACAGACAGCCTTAATACAATTCTTCTTCAGCATACCTGATTATAAGCCAATGCCATAGAAACTGCTCCTCGCATCAAACCAGCCCACCAAATTACTACCTGCAATGGGATATTGGGATTATGGGTATTATAATACGGAGTAGTTCTCATTAAAACCACAACTTGAGATTTATCGTAAATCATATGGAGCTATAAAATATGACCTGCTGCTTGAAACTAATTCTGTCGTTCTTAGACTGCTTTGTGCAATTGGATATGAGGGATAGTAAAAAGACAAAGCATGCTCTTCCAACCAATACAAGTCCAAGTAGCCCCACACTTACTCCAACATAACTTCCGGGACTGAAAGTTTGGGTAAAAGAAGATTAGCAATACTAAAACTGAAGCACAAAATCAATGCCACTTCACCGTTGCTTAGTAGATTAGTAGGATAGCAATGCCTGTGTTACTTCTAAGAAAATTTAATAGACTAGCATCATACGTGTCACTAATAAGCTTCCACTTCTCCATGTCCAAAGCATCCATACCAACATATAGAAAGATGAATGTTTCAGCAATAAATGATAACGTTGCAAAAGCATGCCTGCATAAAAAAACAGAAAGAAGAAAAAGAGAGATCTTGACATTAGGTGTTTAGCTCAATATGCATGACTAACAAACCCCCAAGATCAACAGTGAGAGAAATATTGAATTCTACATAAAATAACATATTACTGCTAATATGCATTAGGTGTTTAGCTCAATATGCATGACTAACAAAGCCCCAAGATCAACAGTGAGAGAAATATTGAATTCTACATAAAATAACAGATTACTACTATGCCCGAATTTATGCATTATTATTTAATATTCGTGGGATAACTCTTTCCATTGTTATAAATTTTATAATTTCAATTACTTAACATACCTTGTTGTCAATTTAGAACTTGTGGTCACATTGTGCCAAGTATAATGTGACATGACGATCCCGCAGAAGAATACAGTGAGAATTCCACTCAAGTCAAATAGCTGAAAGACAAGGTGATCATTATACAAAATCTTGGAAAACCATTGAAATCTGAATATACCAGCACAAAAGCAATTATTATCATCCTAAAAAATATACAAAATTGCATTAATAGAACATACTTCAGCCAGCATATATGAAAGATAAGCCAAGAGAATCATGAGCGCAATTTCGCGATCAGTTGAGTGCCTGTGACATTGAAAACAATCAGTTGCTGAAGCCAACTAGTTACTAGCTACATCCAATAGATCATAAATTACATATGTTGAAAAATAAGTGATTCAATATATTTTAGTATGTCTGGAGTACCAAGTACATGCTCCCAGTGATCCCACAGCAGAATAAATAATTATCAAAAGCATATCCCGGATGGAAAAGAATCTGTTACTAATAATGAGATGTATTGCATCATAGCATATTGCTGTAAATAAATAATAACTACACCTGCCAAAATATATCCTCTTGATTATGAACGCGCTTAGCAACCCAACCTACAAATTTCAAACACACATCTTATCTAATTAGATAAAGCATACTCGAGAGAACTGAAAGTGTTTGGCCATTTAAGTGGTGGTTATTCAATGTCCTATGCATTACGTCTCAGGTTACAAGATATGGATTTCTTATTGTTATGAAACAAAATACAATCCAAAAGAAAAGGCATATATTCTACCTAACATAAGTGCTAATTGTAGAAATGTAGAATTGACAATTCAACACTATAAATAGTACAGAAACGGAGGAAAACTTACCAGAACTCCTAGAAGAGTACTTGCTGTAAATAAATACAGAAAATTGCCAGTCAACTTTAAGGTCGCCTTAAAGTCAATGTTAGAGAGGTCAACTTTTTGGATGGCATTAAAAAGTACAACAGAAGTTGCGTCATTTACAACACTTTCTCCAAAAACTAAACTATACAGCATGGGTGTTTCATCCTGATTGAGCACCTGCCAGTAAGACCAAATGCTCAGCTAATGAAATCATTATTCATGAATAATCATTAAAATGAACTGGCGGTCCAACTATGCCATACCTGCAAGGTGCAAACAGAATCTGTTGCTGAGAAGATAGCTCCAATAGCTGCAATTTAACAAAAAGCATGTCTTCTAAGGTTGCAGGGATTCCATAATAGATATCGTGTATTATAAAATGATGGACTATGTAGCTATTGAGATGTCAAACAACCAATGTCTACCTAAGGGGAAAAGTGGAAATATCAAACCAGCATAGCTACATCACAAATTCAGATGAAAGCTTAATAAAAAAAGAGGGAGAAGTTGAAAACACAAAGCATCACTATACAAAGCATTACAAATGAACAAATCACTGAAAGGAGCACTACCAAGATAATCACGTAGCTCCAAATAACCAATGTCCATCTTTTGAAATAACTCTTTGGCACCTGAAGCAAATTTAAGGTATGATCAATATTAGCTAGAAACAAGTTTAAAACTACAAATTTCATAGAAAGTGGTCCAGAAACAACTTTTAGTTGGATGATTGAAGATAGCTGTTGAAGCAAAAGCATACCCAATGAAATAATACAGAAGGATACTAGGGTACCAATGGCACCAAACAGCATAATGATGGTGATATTTTGGAAAAATTGCTTCTTTTTCACCTGGAACCTGGGAAATCAAGGTGAAAAAAAGTTTAGGTTTGAAATAGAACTTCATGAGTAATAAACAAATCACCCATTCAAATGTGTTTGTGATGCTAAAAAAGCAATCCCAGTAACGAGAAATCTCACCCAGCATTAAATATAATAGGTGGTAGAAGATATATGAAGAATAGTTCTTCATTGAATTCCAGTATATGAGAACTCTTTCGTTTACTAGTCAGTAGAATGATTCCTCCAGCGCATAAACCCTGCAACAAATAGAAACACCCATTATATTTCTTAGCATCACCAAAAACATGTATCCGCAGTTCTGGTGGGCAACGCCAAGGGTGCCGCCGCTCACCATAAAAAGAGCAGTAACGGACTCATTAATCCACCGAGTCTCTTCAACAAGATGACCAATGACAATGCAGGCGCAGAGTAGTGATATGAACAAAGTAATGGAATGTACGGAGCCCTGATCGTCGTCCGATATATGCGCACCTAATCTCATCACAGTGTTGACCAAATTAGTCCCCATGTCTTCCACAAAACCTTCGAACTTCCCTGCCAATTGAGAAAGTATACTATTATTCGGAACAACAATCATATTCAATGACCAAATGCCAAAATTATCCAAAACCAATGCCATAATTACCAGATACTCGCTGCAAACAAGTTCCGCTATCTGAAGCGGGACGAAGAAAGAATAATAATATGGAAATTCCTAGGGTTTGGTGTTTTGCTTAGGGAAGAAGTTTTTCTCTTTCTTTCTAGGGAGGATCACGAAGACAGTAAAGGAGGAAGGGAAAAGTGGATGAACAGATTATGTAGGAATTGAGAGTTTGAAGAATGTTAGAATTGTAGAAAACTAGAAATACCGCGAAGCTGAGGAGTCCTACGAAACTCAGGTAATCAAGTGGGGCCTTCGAAGAATCTTTGAAAGCCTTTTTTGAAAATAAACAAGAAAAAAACCCTAAACTTCTCCTCATCTAAGGCTCCGTTCCGTTCAACTTACTTTTTCTAGTTTGATCTCATTTTTTGTAGTTCTGATATGATCTGATCTAGTCTGATCTGATCTGATTAGATCTAATCTGATCTGATTGGATCTGATCTGGTCTGGTCTTTTGATTGGATTTGATTTGATCTGATCTGATTAATTATGATTTGATTTAAAATTCAATTCAATAATTTGATTTGAGTTTATAATAACGTTTGAAAATTGTAATGATAATTCATATTATAATATAATTAAAATTTTTCATTTTATAATTATTTTTTAATAAAATTAGTTAATTTATATATTAGAATAATCATTCATATTTTAATGTACTAATATTTTTTATTTGATGATTATTGTTTGTGAAATAAGAATATTGATTTAATATTTTAATAATTAGTTCATATATACATTAGAATAAATATTTAATTTATATTTAATCAATATAGAAAAGAGATAGTATTTTTATTAAAATATCTCATCCTTATAAAAGATCAAAACTTTAGAAACTCAAATTACAGGTAGCAATTAAAACTTATTTTAAAAATAGAATTAGATTGACATTGTCAATGTATTTTAAAAATAATTTTCCGACATCTAATAATTAAGGATTAGTTTTTCAGTTTTCTATTGAACTTGTTTCTAAAGTTTTTTTTTCATTTTTAATAATAATAATAATAATAGTAATAATAATAATAATAATAATAATAATAATAATGACAGTAATAATAATAATAATTCTTTATCGGATCTAATCTGGTCTAGTCTGATCTGATCTGATTGGATCTGATCTAATTCGTTCTGATCGGATCAAATATGATTCGTTCTAATCTGATCTGATCTGATTCGTTATGATCTGATCTGATCTGATTTGATTTGATTTGAATAAGAAAAAATAAGTTGAACGGAATGGTGCCTAAATCGTTCTCATCGGATTAGGATAAGTTTTTATTTGATTTCATTTGCTCTGATCAGGATCTGAATATAGTCATATTTAAACTTATTTCTGATATGATCTGGTCTGATCTAATTCCAATAAGAAAAAATAACAAGAATGAGTTGAGGAAAACATGGTCTAAGAGTAAAAAGTTGTGCTTCTATTATCCTAAGTTTCACATATGAAATGTCGATCTTCTCACTAGTGGGCTAACATCATCTTTTTGTCAATGGGTCCAATTCATCCTGAGGATTTATATACTCCCTCCGTCCGAAAATAAAGTTTACGTTTCTCCTTTTTCTCCGTCCGAAAATAAAGTTTACATTTCTAATTTTAACCTACACTCTTCCAAAAATACCCTTCTCTACCATTTCAATTTCTCTCTCCCTCTCCCCTTCCTCATCTCCTTCCTTCGTTCCCCTTCTCTTCTTTTTCTTTCTCCCATCCGCCAGATCTGTACGTTTTCAATCCTCTCTCCCCGTCTATCCTCTTCTTCTTGCTTTTCATTCTTCTTTTCTTTCTCCCGACCTTCATCTGTTTTTCCCCTCCCCCCTACCCGCATCTTACGATTTTGCGAATCAGATAATCCTCCGGTGGGACTCCACTGCGTCTGAAGCCGCCAGAGAGAAGATGATCTTCGGCGGTGACCGGAAAGAGGCCGACCTGTACTTGCGTGCCGTCGATGAAATCTAGCGGTAAATGGAGTTGGCCACGCTCTCCGATGACCGGAGCAAGGCCAACTACTCGATCCAGATTGCCGAATCAAAGCTTTTGCTTCTCGAATTGGTGGTGAGGACAGACGATTGAGGACGAGATGGTGCCAAGACGCCGCGGCTTTCCTGGTGGACGAGGATGGGTTGTTCCTGTGCTCATATAGGGGAAGAGAGTCGTGGAGAGCCGGGTCAGGTCAGACGGCCGGCTGGAATTCGGAAAGTGGGCAGCGGTTTTGGGTGATGAGGAATGATTTGAGGGGGGAGAGGAAACTTCCAGGTTTCTTCAATAGGGTTCTCCGATTTTGAGCAGTCGGTCAGGAGGAGATTGGAAAGGGGCATTTTTAGTCATTTCACATGGTTAGTCAACCTCCCTTAAAAATGACCAAAAATCAAAACGTAAAATTTAATACCGGACGAAGGGAGTATTAAAGTTCATAAAATGAGTAGACCTTAAGTCCGCAAAAAAATTTACCAAAAGGTAAAATATAACGGCAAGGTTCTGTTGACACTATATGAAGGTGTCAACAAATGACACTCGACTATTTCAAGAACCTCCCGTGCTCCGTTTCAAAAATTGATAGTTTCCACCTCTCCTCACCCACTGTAACGCCCCAAAACATACCCTAGAATTATTAATAAATAATTATTAAAATTAATCAAATTTGTTTTGATTAAAATAAATTGTTATTGGGCTTTGGGCCGATAAGAAATATGTTTAGGTGTCCAATATCACAATCTGGATAAATCTCATAGAGATAAATCCAATATGTTAACTATTTGTATTGTCTTGGTTGGGAACCTGAGTACAGACCCAAAATCAGGAATAAATGAATAACGTGTTTATGATGTAAACTTTGAAATGAATTCTTGAAATAAAACATGAGAATATATTAAATTGAGAACCTTTTGTGATAAAGGTCAACTAAACCAATTTTGACTCTGTCAAAGTCAAACACCCAAAAAGATGATGTTAGAAAAAGTATTACAAATAAATATAAAAATTATATCGTTGAATAAAATTCGACTGTATGATCGCAACAGTGCAAATGGAATTCAATTCGGAGAAAGTTAGACCAAAAAGTGTACCCCGACTGGAACCAAATTGGTCCCAATCAGGGAACGGCGTGTAGATCAATTAGAATCGCTGTCCTGCGCACTAAGGAAATTCTACGTAGAAGTGAGTCAGCTACCAATGTTTTCTTCCCCCCTTCTCTTCTCCTATATAAGGATACTCAATCCTTACCAATTATGCATCAATCTTCTGGAAATTTATACCATTGTGTTCATAAGAGTGACGAGAGCAGTCTGGTATTGTTGGTTGCCGCCGAAGTCGCCGGAATTGGGAGTAATCATCTCCAGAAGTTTCACCGGAAAACTCTCAAAACCTTCGATTAGCTTCGAGGTTAGCCCGTAGATATATCTAATGACTAGAATGTTCATATAGCTCGTTTCTACGTTTATAAATGGTCATTTGGTTGAGTTTTGTGTTTGACATGTTTGAAGAACTAAGAATCATAAACCTAAAATTTGATGTTAAAAATATAATTTAATGATTCTAAAATGATCTATGAACCTTGAAGAACATCTCTATATAATTTAATTGAAGTTCAGTACCTAAAAATGATAATACGTTACAAATTGTCACATTTTATTTGGTCATACTTTAGTTCTTTATTATATTTTTAATGCATTTTATGTTAAAATAAATTACATAATGAAATATTTAGCTTTTTAGGCCACTTGTTAAATTTTACACTAAAATCATAAGTTGAGTAAAGTTTTTATTTTATTCCATGTTTAAATTAATTTCTCTTATATGTATTTTCAGATATACTTTTTGGAATAAAAAAAAAATAGATGTTAAGTTCAAGGGATGGAGAATTGGGCCAAGCTTTAATGGAATTGAAGATTTAAAATCCAAGTGCAAGTCAAGATCTAATTGTTATACAAATCCAACCCAACCCACATTAAACCTAAAAAAAGAGACAAACATGATGCATATAAAGAGAATAGCCGCATCTCAGAGAAAGGGTGGCTGGAAACGGAAAAAAAAATAGAGCAGAAGACCTTGAGCAGCGGCGACTTTGTTCGGCGGCTTCGACCGGCGGCGTCGACGGCATCCTGGAGCAGCAGCCTGGGTTCCCTTCTTCCTCCAATTTCAGAGTTTAATTCTTCCCTTCTTCTTTAATTACGTCAAGTTTTACTATCAATCTTGTTGAATTTTACATTATGTTTGGCTAAACTCCATAGCTAGGGCAAGGATGAAACTTATATATTCTATTTGATTTTTACTCATGATTTATTCTTTTTCCATATTGATCTTAAATGTTTAGTCTATTTTTCCAATTGATTGTTAGGGTTAATTTTTAGATGAGTTCAATCATGTTTTTCTCATGCTTTCAATAATTCTGATAATTGTTTGACAAGTTAAAAGAGCGGATATTAGTTGTGATTTCTTAATGAGATACAATTAATGATTTGAATTCCTCTTAAAACTTTGAAAAATAGCAAACTGTAGAAATTGTTTTTTAGAGCTTAGTTGAAATATCCTCCATGATAACGAGACTTGGTTGCGAGATTATCATGCGTATTAAGTTTGGAAAAAATAATGATTGAGTAAAAATTATATTTGAATATATAAGTGGATTCCAAGTCCTAGTTCTTTCTCATATTTGAAAACTTATTTTTAATCTCTTAATTTTTAATAGTTAGTAAAATCTTTAGTTTTTGTTTAATTTAAGTTTTTTTTTAAAACTAGTCACTTCCAGATTTAGTTGTTTTTTTTAAACATTAAAGTTTGTCCAACTAGATTAGAAATATTCAATTGAATCTAGAATAAAACTCTTCACATAATCAAGTCCCTTTGGGATCGACCTCGTATTTGCGTTGCTATACTTTCGTACGGTTCGTGCACTTGCGAGTAAATAAAATATCACAACAAATGACATTCCCGAAAAATGGACCGAAGGTTGAAGAAGATGAACAGTAACCTGAAACTACACTGCCTGGATCAATCACACGCCCTGATTAATCACACTGCCTGGATCGATCACACTGTCCTGCTCGATCACACTGCCCTGTCACACTGCCTTGATCAATCACACTGCCTGTATCGCTCCCTCGACCTGTTTGCTCCGAAAATACTTCTGAAAATGTTATTTTTTAGCTCTAAAATCCTATTTTTGATACCAA